GACCCAATATAGTAACTAAAAATATAAAGTAATAGGAAGTCTAACTTTTCTTACATGAAACAAGTCTATGTTTGCTGCATGAGCTAAAGTTACTAGGGGAGAAACAAGAGGTACCTGAGGTTAGGTTAAAGATTCTAAAGGCTAATTGATAAGAAGTCTGTGACTGTGACAGTCTGGAATGCTGGAGTTCCCAAACCACCTGGGCATAGCTTTAGCCTACTTAATAACCACTTATTGCCCACCTGTTTCACCTACTATCCTTACCATTCATCAATTAAACCCTGCCTGGAAGGTGCTTTCCATATTGACAGCCTTCTCCTGCTAGAGGACAAAATTCTAAAGCAGTGCTTACTGAATCATCATGTGCATAATAATCACCTCAGGAACCTTCAAATATCCAGATTCTGATTTGAAAGATCTCAGTAAAAGCAAGACCATACATTTCTAGCACACACTGTGGTGTTGCCAAAAACACTCAAGCACATTTTAACATCAAGGTTCTAAAGAAAAGCTACAATTTACAATACTTTAAGATCCACCACCATCACCATTATCCCAGTGTTTTGCAAAGCACTAACTAGCCTTGATGATGTTTCCAACTAAATTCCTAACTTGTAAGGCTAACACTTTTCCATCTTTATCTTACTTCATCACATGCTGTGTAATTTTTTTATTTGCTTTACATCCCAATCACTGTACCCCCTCCCAATCCCTCACACACACACACACAGTCCTTCCTCCCAAACCCCCTCCCCTTCTCCTCTGAGAGAGTGGAGGACCCCCTTGGACAGCCCCCAACCCTGGCACATCAAGTCCATGCAGGGCTAGGCACTTCTCCTCTCATTGAAGCCAGACAAGACAGCCGAGTTATGGGGAACAGATTCACAGACCAACTACAGCTTTAGGGAGAGCCCCCAATCCAGTTTTTCAGGACCCATATGAAGACAGAGCTGCACATCTGCTACATAGTGCAGGGTGCCTAGGTCCAGCCTATGTATACTCTGGTTGGTGGTTCAGTCTCTCAGAGCCCCCAATGGTCCAGGTTAGTTGACTCTGTTGGTCTTCCTGTGGAGTTCCTATTCCCTCTGGGGCCCTCAATCCTTCCTCCAACTATTCCAAAAGATTCCCCAAGCTCCATCCAGTGTTTGGATCTCTGCAACTATGCTGAGTTAGCTACTGGGTGGAGCCTCTCAGAGGACATCCATGCTGGGCTTCTATCTGTAAGCACAATGTGTAATTTTTTAAAGATTTTTTAACATCTGTCTGTGAGTGTATCTGCACATGTGTGATATACATGCTTGAGTGTGCATAAAGGCTGTAGGAGGACATCAGATCGATGAGCTGGAGTTACAAGTGTTTGCAAGACCCCCAGCTAGTTAAATGGGTGATAGGATCCAAACTTCAGGCCTCATAACTGCACAGCAACTGTTTTTAACCACTGAGCCATCCCATCTGCTGGCTATATTATATTTTTATCATCCCATTACTATTAAAATCTAGGAAATATATCCTCATCTGCCTTCCTTTTTGGTCTCTTCCCAAATTCTCACACTTACGTGCAGGTACACCACACCTGTATCTTCACCTCTTCTCCATTCTATCATCATCTCTGTTTTGCCTACATGTTAATTAACCCAAAACCTGCATTTCCCAACCTTAGATCCACATATTCAACTACTAAGAAATCTTTCTAAATATAAGCTCAAATTATACACCTCCGATTCAAAATATTTCCAACAGCCAGGAACTCCTAGCTCCATAGAAGAGCACCTGTCCAGTACACAGTGGTTTCAATCTCTAGCACTAAAGATAGGGTGGGAGTCAGAAGTACTCTAAAAGATCTCAAATATCACAGCGCCCACTCTCCCCAGCTTTTCTAAACCCTGTATTGACCTTCCTTATCTCCTCCTCCTATGTAAATCCACATCTTAAAACTGGCCCTCTTTCACTAAACCCAATTAGCCTCCACTTAATAATTTCTCAAATCTCAGTCTTTTCTCCAAAACTGTTATCAGTTTAGATGTGGAACTTTTCTGATCTAATTACTATAGTAACCTAATCAGTTTTCTTGTTTCCAAATTCATTTTCTCCCACATTTTCATTCTCTACCTTACCATTTAATCCTTACGAGTATAATTTGTTGGTATCCCCCTACGAAAGTGACCAATAATTAATGCCCATTACCTTTAGAAAAGTGTTTTAGCATATCATATAGCACTGCTCATACCCGTGACTACCCTCAGTCTTATATATTCTCATTCTCTCTCTCTCTCTCTCTCTCTCTCTCTCTCTCTCTCTCTCTCTCTCTCTCTCTCTCTTTCTCTCTCCCTCCTCTCTCTCTCTCCCTCCCCCCCTCACTCTCTCTCTCTCCTCACTCTAACTACTCTTAACAGCTAGAGTGACCCTTTGCTTCACCAAGCTATTCGAAGTTCCCCAAATGTGGCACATTCTCAAGACTGTATATTTGCACAGGCTAAAATTCATTTTGTTAAACAATGCCCAAACCAAGTTAAGTTCTGATCTGCTTTAAGAGCCTCCTTAAGCATAACATGCTTTAAAATGCCTTCCAATCACCAAACCCTGCTCCCTCAACAATAGGGTTTCCCTTGTGCACACCTCTACTCTTCTTAAACCATTGTATAACTGCCACTTTACTCACCTCTCTACTAGGCTAATCAATTCATCAGTCCTTCTAAAAACTGAGTGTCCCAGTACCTGGTAGGGGCTCAATAAAAGCTGAAACCTATCTTGAAATACAGTCATGAACAGTTATTATGGCTACATGTTTCAATTATGAACAAATTTTTTAAAAAGCCCACAATTTTTACTTGACTTTATAGCCTGACTACAGAACACAGATTTTCAAAATACCTGATGTGTTCACTTAATCCCTGGCATCTAAGCATATTTGTTTTAAAAATATTAAAAACAAAGCTCCTCCTACTTTATGCTGAAATACAATTTTAGCTTCATAACCACAATGTTAGACAAATAGAAGCAGCAATCTCTTTCCCAGCGGTCACATTAAGCCATCAGATGGCCTCGGCTTCTATTCTGACTCTACTACTTACTGACTGTATGACTGGATAACAGATGAACAGTGTCTTCAATGGACAGCAGAGACAAATTGCTTACCTACCTCCTGGTTGTTTCAAATACTCTTGATATGAACATTTCTACAAGCCATAAACAAATGTCAGCTAGTGTGTTAGCTTCCATCTCCACGTGTATCAAAGATTTTACAAATGCAAATTTCAAGGCCTTTGGGCTAATCAAAACTTAAGTCACTGAAGCACAATCCGCAACAAGACCCAGTCTTCAATCCTCTTACATGGCTAAAGCAGTAAGATCTAATTCCATAATAATCTAACACATTCTTTAAGGGTACGTATTTTATAAACCACAAAGTAAATCTCAAGGTAAGTTGTTGGTACAGTCATTTAAATATCAGCTCCATTTAAAAAATTAATTGGAAGACAAAAATCAGCAGGGAATATCATTTTGAGATGTCTTATTTAGTCAGAGTATTGTCTGTTGACATACAAACTCAATCTATAGACTAAAGTGAAAATTTAAAAAGTCACCTTTGCAGAACCTTATCTTCCCCCCAAATTTCTGACTTTTTTAAAGATATGCTTGCTGGTCTGTCAGGATAGAAAATTTATTACATTTCTCTAATCTAAAAAAGTGATGGAACATGTAAATCTCACTCTCAGCAGTACCTTTGTTAACTATGGACTTGATTAGAGCTGTTTTCTTCTCTCTTTTTCAGTATTTATCAAAGTAGGATTCTTTAACTTTCAAAGGGAAAAACTCCTTTAAAAAAGAAAAAGAAAGGAAAATCTACTACAAAAGTCAGTACTTTGGTACCTGATTGCAGTAACAAGGCCAAAATCCAAGACGAAGCCCTTTATTGCACATGGAGTTCCAACATCTTGGGCAGACTCATCTTGCGACCTCTCCAGATTAGCTGCTCCTGCTCTCTCTACTGCAGAGAGAACTTCAATTAGAGAAATTCTGAAGTCCATAAATCTAAACTGGATACTCCCCTCATTGGAGGCAAGGATGGTAAGATTAACTAAAAAATCCAAGTTAGAGGAGGGTTCAGGTGAATCTAAGCAGCTTGAACCCACTATAATGGAAGCAGCTGAGAGTCGGATTATGTAACTTCATTTACCTCAAAAAAATTTAAGGGAAAAGAATGGCAGTAAATCTCTATAAATCTGAAAAAGCAGATTATATAAATCTTTAAAAAGTGAAATAGTTTCCACTAAGCTTGAACCGCAATATCTACAATATAAACCTAGTGCTGCCCATTCATATTTACAATCTGAGAAAAGCAAACGAAGAAGCAAAACCAAAAATGTTTAAAAACCTTCAGATTCATTATTGTTCTTTTTAATGCTCTACAGTAATTCCATTGAAAGGAATACTTGGCTAAAAACTGGTTAGAAAGGAACGTTTCCCTGCTGACTTAAGCCTAACTGCCCAAGCAAGGCTTCAATCAGAAAATGTCTTTACCTACAACAGTGCACAGACAGAAGGAGCAGAGGCAATGGCGGTCTCTCCAGTCACAACGGGGTGTATTTCTGGGATAGACTGCCAACAAGTTACTGAAAGAACTTAAGCAAAACCTGGTGAGTAAATAAGCCAACACCCTTTCGTTTTCTATTCCAGTATCAGAGTCTCACTAATGTTACCCTGAGGCTACTATGTCTAAATCATAGACTCTACACTGTAGCATTCCCTGAAATGTAAAGCCTGGATTCATTTTCAAGCTCATTTCCATAAACTCATAATGAAGCACTTCTTCAAGCAAGTACAAGTCCTACACCAAAGATCTCACCAGTTAGGAATTACAATTTAAAGAAAAAACAGTTTGAAATACTTTTATTATGAAGTATTTTTATAAGGTGTGCAGGTGTGTTGTCCAACACCATGAAGTTAATATTGTTGAGATACTGTATTTACTATCCAATTGAACAATAATTTTACCTTACCTGAGTATGAAAATTTGAAATGGTGGTTGTTTCAATATCTTTCTTGCCCAAAATTTCCATTTTCACTGGAGTGTTGGGAAAATTAAAAGCAAAGTAGTCCAGGAAGTCTGGGAGATAAGCAGCCGCTCCATGCACTATTGCTAAAGCATAGTAGGCAGCGTTTTTCTCATTTTCACTGAATGTCAAAGCAAGAAACTCCTCTGAAAATCTCTCCATCTCCATTGGAGATAAAAATGAGAGTTCGTCCATGTATGCATGAAGGACAAGAGCACCACCATTGGACTGGTGTTCTTCATGAATAAAGTTGCTAAATTTAGTACCTGTTTTTAAGAAATTTCTGCGAATAGAATGTTCTTGGTGCGTTGTAAAAGGTGTCTGTACTCCCTGGGGCACCCGATATTCTTGCATGCCCAAATTTAATCTGCACAGCTGTTCATCCTTCAAATACCTGAAGGACTCCTTATTAACTCCTGAAGTGCTATTTAGCTGTCCTTGGGTGAGAATTTCTTTGCTGATTCGGGTCAGGCCTGCACAGACGGTTTGTACTTCCTTATTGTACATTTTAAGGCGTCTTCCTCTCATGTCTTCTCGGTGTTTCTTTTTCTTTTTCTTCTTTATTTTCTTCAAGACAAAATCATCAGCTCTCTGGGTTTTACCATTTTCATCTGCTGTTTCTGGCCACAATAATTAAAAATAAGTTAGTTGCTAGGACCAGTGTCAATATACATGTGTCTTAAGGTATTTGATCTAAAATTAAAAACTCCTTAATTTCTGAGAATGTTATTACATCTTTTACCATTAGGAATAAAAAATGAGACAAAAAGCTTAAAATATAGTAATATTCTGGGGCAAAGATTATACTAAAAAACAAAATCCTGGTAATGAGTTATTGGTGGAACTATAGTTAAATGGTATGTAACACTTATTATGTGCAAGGCTATGGACAACACATACACCTCAGCAACACACACACACAAACACAGAGGATATATTTCATATGACTTTGTAATAAAGATAAAACATGGAAATAGTGTTGCTAAACCATATGAAGTATTTGTTTAGTTACATAAAATCTAAATTGAAATTTGTTGTTTCACATTTTCCTGTCAGTCTATTAGTTACTATAGTACACACAGTTGAGCCAAAGACAAATTGGCCATAAAACAATAAAACAATATTCTACCTATCAAATGGGCTTTAAAAACAATGTTGTCTTGCAGCGGTAGGGTGGAGGAAGAGGCAACTCACTACAGGACACAGAGACTGCTGACACAGTGGCCACTCCCATGCTCACCAGTGCTCTCCTAGTCTCCTATTCTTCCCCATCTTTTTCTCCCTTTCTGTTTGGCTACATTTTTGTCACCTTTTTCCTGCCGTAACTCTTAAAAGTGGTCATTACTTATCTTCAGGAAAGATCGAGACTTTACAATAATATCCTTTAGGGCCTGGTGTGGTAGCACACAACTGTACTTTGAGTGTCTGAGAGACTGACAAAAGATGAAGAATTGGAAGTTGTCTGGCCTCTAATGCAAGATTGTCTCAGAAAAGGACCTGAAATAGAAGCCCTTTCCTTCTTCTCAGAGGAAAAAGTAAAAGGAAGACAACACAAACAGCAAGACATCAAAAAGAAAACACAGAAGCAAATCCCAGCAAACAGTGACAATTATTTAACAAGGTTTACTCTGCACAGAGCACTCTCCACACAGCATTTCATCTTACATCCTATCTGAGGAAGCCATTCTCTAACTATTTTATGGAGGAGCAAAGCAAAATATAGAGTGCTTACTGAAGCACTTACCAAAGATTACAGATAGATGATAATTAGAAAATCTTTAGACCCCAAAATCTCAATCCTTATTTAAAAAAAAAACTAATAAAATTTTCACAAATGACAATTTGGTGATATGTACCACAAGCCTTGACTATATGTATAAACTCCAGATCCAGAAAATCTACTTGACTGACATAAAAACAATGTTTTAAAATGTCATCCTGTTACCCTTCTAGAAACCCTGCACTGATGGCTTCCCCATCTAACAGAGTACGCAGTGAAAGCAACCTAATGCTGCACTTCCCATTCCAGAGTCTACATACTTAACTCTCCATCTTCTAGACTATAAGTAATCTGAGGTCAAGAGCATATACTATCTTTGATTTCAGAGCACTTAACATAGGTTTATTCTGATATCATTTTTTTATTTAACACTCATTCACTTAAATTTATTACAAACATACATACCATGTACTAGGTACACTCTGGACATTAGCTACAGTGTTGACTATAGCACAGACACAACCTTCTCTACTCTCCTGTATCTATAATCTAGCTGGAGAAGGTCAAGCAGCTATAGTACTACCAGACAGTAGATGGTGAACAAAGGCCGTTCTGGTTATTAGGAAATCTCCTTTGAGAGGTGAAATTTAGAATGAGTTCTAAATAATAAAAGATCTGGGTATTTGAAGAGCTAGGAGTGAATTTCTAAAGAGAAGCAAGAGATCTAAAGTTGGGGAAAATCAGCTTTATCTATGTATGTGCTGTATACATAAAATACAGAAAAACATCTGGAGGCATGTATACTAAGATATTACTGGTAGTTATCAATGGTAGCAGGATTATAAATGTCTATCTCTTCTGCCTATCTATATTTTCCAACTTTCTATAATAAATTAAAGTTATAATTTCAAAACTGACTCAAAGTTTTAAATAGCATGAACTGACAACCCCAGAACTGAAAGACATCTTTTATTTAGTAGTAAGGAAATAGACCTGTCCCCCCCCCCAAAAAAAAAATCTTTCCAATTAAATAACAATTATAGTCCTAAACCTTCAAACTTAGCCTAGCATTTACTATATAAAATTTATCTACCAAGCAATAGTATTTCCAATATAAGTAATTCAGTTAACATAGATACCCAACTATAAAGAACTTACTTGGCATAATACATAAATACTAATTAGTATAAAGATTTTATATAAAAAACATTCCAAATGACAATAACAGAATCTAAATATTTTAAAATGCATGTCTTTAAAACATGTAAGCAACATATAATGTATTTAATAAAACTTGCTTTAAAACAACAACAACAAACCAAACATGGGGGTTCCCCCTTGTGATCTCTGCATATAAGAGGCACGGGCAGAGGAAATCAGAATGAGAAATGGCCTCAAAAAAAAAAGAGGGGCGAGAGAGGGAAGAGCACACTAAAAAGAGACTTAATTTACAAGCATCATTTATAATGTAACTATATAACATACATAAAATCAGACTGCTTATACTGACAACCAAAAATAACCAATTTTTACTCTATATAGAACTATATGATAATTAATTAAAACTAATAAAATAAGTCAAATAAAACTAATCTAAATACTTTTCCTAATAGCAAATCAGTAATTTAGTCAATTTTTCTAAGGAACAAATGTCATTCAGTATAAAGGTTAAACCAACTCAAAAATATTCATCTAATTAACCCCCTCCCACTAAATCCTTTAGTAATTTCAAGGGTGTGGAGAATAGTTCTGAAAATATCAGGTTTTAAGTTTCAGAAGTCTACAAAAGAGGTATGCAAAAAAAAAAAAAAAAAGAATTATAACCTAGACCTGACACTGAAATTAGCACTGAGAAGGAAGTGCCTTAATTATCATTTTCTATGTTTACTATTTGCCTATCAGTGGTATTTCTACATGGCCAAGTCTCTGTCAGTTTTAGCCCAAAACACTTTAGGGAAAAAAAAAAAGTATAACAGCCTCAAAAAAAAAAAAAAAGAAGAAGATGTGGAGGAAGAGGAAGAAGAGGAAGAAGAGAAAGAGGATGAAGAAGAGGAGGAGGAGGAAGAAGAGGAAGAAAAGAAGGGAAGAAAATAAAATGGACCTTAAATTAATTGTAATCTCACAAATTTCAATCTGTCTACTAGCTAATCCTGTTTTTCAAATGTAAACTTTTTCTCAGGCTGGGATTCAGAAAGCTTGCCTTTCTTTGTTTATAAACTTGAGACCATTCATCACCCACTTGCTAATGAGTTTATACGAACAAACTAACTTTGCTCTTAAATTGCAGTGGTGGCAGCTAGCTGATGGCCTAAGTATCCATCCACTGTTGGTTATTACACAAAGTTGGCCACTGTTGCTGGATGAAAAAAATGCCAATTGCCTTGCTTTGAGTTAAAAAAAAAAGTTAAAAGTTAATGTCTATAAAAGAAAGAAGTTGGGCAATGAATGCCTAAAGGCTTCATGATCTTTCCATTCTCTTGCCACAGAAAATGCATTTACAAAGTCTCTTTCTGAGTTATTTCTCCATAATATAAGAGTTAAAACTTACTGTCATCAGTTTCATTGTTGTTTTTTTTTATTATTTATTGTTATTGTGCATATGTGCATGGGTGCCTCTGTGGAGGTCAGAGGACAACTCTGTGGAAGCTGTCTCCTTCCACCTTTCTGTGTGTTCTAGGGACCCAACTCAAGTCACCAAGCTAGGCCTCCATATCCTTTCCCCACTGAGAGATCTGCTGGGCTGTCATTGCTGGTTTCTTCCCCTGTCTTCTTGTATTGTTTTAGTTTTGCAGTGACAACAAATAAACTTATCCTATCTGGTACATTCTAGGCAGGTGTTCCAGCCTTCACATCATCAGCTCTTAACCACAAAGAACCAAGCTATACTCACCTATATTAAGGAAAGCTTTTACATATCAAACTGAAAGCTGACATACAGAAAGCCTGTCGTACTACAGAGAAAGACAGGGACATTGACCTTAGAAACAAACTGCTGGCTCTCTTTAAAGGTCATCACAATTACACTTAGAGTTCATGAAAAAGTCCTCAAATTAGCTAACATCATCTATCATCAAATAGCCTAGCTTACTTAATATCACACTAGTCTAGTTTTCAACAGTGCAAAAATTAGCATAAGGGGTAGGATGTACCTCACTGGTAGAGTGCTTGTCTAGCAGTCACAAAGTTCTGGGTTCAGTTCCCGGTACTGTCATGTGCGCATACACATGTGTACAAAAACACAAATACAAATGTGTACACTTGAACTATATCTTAGGAAATATGGTACATTCAATTACTAAATATCATGGTAGATAAGCAAAAGCAAACAACAGTTCATATCGTATTATTTAAAAAAGAACTAAAGTATTCTAAAACTTAGGATTTTTTTTTTCTTTTTGCTTTGGAGATAGGACTGGTTTTTAAATTCAAGATCCTCTTACCTCAGTCTCCCAGAAGTAATGGAGGAATAAATTATTTTTGCTTCTCTTGTGGGTAGTTAATAGTTTTATATAAAAACTTGATATAAATGGAAAATCAAAAAGGTGCTCCTTGCCGGGCAGTGGTGGTGCACGCCTTTAATCCCAGCAATTGGGAGGCAGAAGCAGGCGGATTTCTGAGTTCAAGCCCAGCCTGGTCTACAGAGTGAGTTCCAAGACAGCCAGAGATATACAGAGAAACCTTGTCTCGAAAAACAAAGCAAAAAAACATGTATGTATATAATATATATATAACTACATAGTTATATGGTTATATATGTATACATATATACATATATAGTTATATATGTATATAGTAATACATATATTATATATATATAAAAAATCTAGTTAGGTGGAAACCCTGTTCTACCACTTCCTAAAACTACACTTTTTTTTTTCCATTATATGAGTTTTCTTTCTT